TGCTAGTGGCTTCCCGCCTTGCTTGGGTGAAACGCTTAAAAAACAATTTAAATAAATAAAAAATACCAAAAATGTATTTTAAAAAAATCCCCTTTCTACTTACCATAGGAGGCAATTCAAACTAAACGCACTACAATTTTCTACAGAATATTCGAGTCTGGGCCCTAGAGCTGATATGTAAAATTCTATATTTATTTGAACATTATCGATCGGCGTGCACTTGACTGAACTCGGATCGCAAAGTAAATGTTGGCACTCCAAGAAGTTTTCCCAAATATGTAATATACTGCCAAACATCTAGAAAGAAAAATATCAAGTGAAGTGAAAAATAAGTCGCCTGATAACGTGATAATGATATAATCTTTAATGTGATTTTGCTTTAGTCAAAGAATTGTTGAAACAATGCCTTCATTGTGTTATTGATTTGTTATTAAAACCGATCGGTCAGTTCATTCTACAGAATTCTTTCAGTTTTCAATTCTTTATAATATTGGCAGAAATACACAAACTAACGGGGTACTTGTCAAAATTCACTACAACAGAACACATCGTTCATATAACTGAGGTAATTTATAATGCCTCGGCTAAGCAGCCCTATACTCAAGTCAATTCAAGATGCATTTCAGTGCTATAGAGGATTTTTTAGTATCTGTCTATATTTCTGAGATGAGGTGTTATGTACACTATTTACATTATTCGGACTATTGTCCTCATCTTTGTCGCCATACTTATTACAATGTTTCGGCCGTTTTACGCTCCGGCCTTCTTCAGGAAGTTGGAATGTCGAAATGAACCCTTTTTTTCGTTCACTGGGGTAGACTGTTCTAGTTCCACGTGCCATGTCTAATGGATGTCAGTTATCTGTTATCTCCTGTTAATTCCCCACTCAAAGTTCTCCACTGACTTAACCGGGTATTGAACGCACAGTCTTTGGATCTAACCAACGCCTTTATCCACTGTGCCATGTATCCCTGACAACAAGTCTGTATGAATTGCTGGGTATTATAAACCTAATGTCTTCAGCAACCATTTTTACCAGTGCTCATATTGCAATTTTTGCTGTTTGCGAAAGATAAATGATTCGATGTATGAATATATTCGCAACAATATTTGTCGGGATATTGCTCTGGATTGAGAATTAAACTGAGGTTCCTGTTACTCTAGGTAATCATTTCATTTCGCAGATATCTTACCCGAGTAAGACCCCCCCCCTATAAAGGAAAACATGTCGAAAGACAGTGTGTACGCCATCCCATGCAGCTGCGGAAAAGATATAATGGGGAGAGAGGCCGCCCCCTTAAGGTAACGCTTCTAGAACACCAGAAAGCTGTAACACGAGGAGACGTGGAAAAACCAGGCATGACTGACCCCATATTGCGGGAAAAGGAAGATCACCGCCCTCTGTGGGATCAGATTGAGATCATAGACAAAGAACATCATTGGAAATTCATAAAGAATCAGCATATATGCTAGGCCACAAAAATCTCCTGATCCAACTAAGCATAGAAATGAGTACAATATGGAAACCAGTAATAAGGAGTGCCAGAAAAAAGCGATAATAACAAAAAGAAATTGCAATATGAGCTCTAGAAAAAAAATGTAATGGTAACAGCAAAAAATTTGCAATATTAACACTGATAAAAAACGGTTGCTGAAAACACTAGGTTTATAATATCCAGAAATGCATACACAGGTGTCCTCAAGGACACCTTGTACAGTGGATAAAAGCCGTTAGTTAGATCCAGTGACATAACCCAAAAAGTGTGACTTCAATACCGAGTTAAGGCTGTGGAGAACTTGGAGAGGGCAATTAACAGAAGATAACTGATGACTGACATCCATTAGACATGGCACTTGGAACTACAAGAGTCTACCCCAGCGAGCGAAATAAAGGCTTCAGTCCGACATTCTAACCACCTGGAACGTTGTGATAAATATGGCAACAAAGATGAGGACAATATTCCGAATAATGTTAATAATGTAAATAGTGTACACAATACCCCATCTCAGAAATATAGACAGATACTAATCATTTCATGGTTTGACTTTTGAAATAACTAAATGTAACACTAAGTTCTATTATATATCTCGGACTTATCACCTCTGGAAATGTCTTCCTTTTTCTTCCAAGTTGACATCAAATCGCGGTTGCAATCTTCCTGAACATTGTTCTTTTATTATCCTGTCTCCTCGCTAAGAGCTTCGCACCCAGTAAACTTCTTGCTTGTTAGTGTCATTTCAAGTTTACTTGGGTGAAATGATTTTAAATCATAAGAGGTTAGCCGAAAAGTTATATAACGCATACACGTTTCATGCTAAACGCAGTTGTCCGGTTATATTTCTTACCATTGCGTTTAGCATGAAACAGACTGTCACCTCTGGGTGTTGGTTTCAATGTGTACTTTTATGTTTATATACACTATTAATGAACAAGCATGATATATATATATATATATATATATATATATATATATATATATATATATATATATATATATATATATATATCCATGCATGTGTATGATGATAGGAGAATGTATATGCGTATTTATTAACTCATCTTCTAACTATGTATAGCATGTGTATCATCGCGTCAATATATATATATATATATATATATATATATATATATATATATATATATATATGTGTGTGTGTGTGTGTGTGTGTGGTTGTGTGTCTATGTGTATTTATGTGTGTGTATTAATTAAGTTGGATGATGAACTTAGGTTTATTACTACTATTTCTCTGTAACAATGCCTATCTATTAGGCATTGTTCAAGCAAAGTAAAAAGAATGCTGAATTCAACAACGTAAAACCTGCTATAGTACAAAAATGTTTATGTACCTGCGCCCTTATTGGCTGGGTAATATCAGTGATTGATATGCTAGTAAAGATTCTGTAGCGAGGCCGTCACCAACAGATTCGGGAGTTATTTTCTTATCAGAACAATCACAGTGAGTTTTCCGAGTTGCCGTAACTTTGTAATCATCATAAGACTGATTCAACTCTTTCTGAATATTCTGCACTCTCCTCAGATTGACACCCAAACATTATGAAATAATTGCATTGAAGCTTCTGGTATGAATGCCAAGCAGTACATCATGTGGTTTACAAATTGTCTGACACAGTGAATTGCATCATGGTGTACTTTTTTTTTCTCACAGATGTTACCCAAATAATCCTACTATAATGTGCAGTTTAACAAAAGCAAAAACAATGTGCATGTATGTGTGAAAGTCAAAATATAAAATAACGACAATGTATCCCTTTGCATCCAGTGTATATATATATATATATATATATATATATATATATATATATATATATATATATATATATATATACATACTTCCACAGGAAAAGGAGGTTGATTCGTCTCTTCCCTTTCTTGATGTGTTTTTGCCCCATGAAATGTAAAATTAATTTAATTAAAACCCTTACCGATAGGGCTGTTTTGATCTGTTCTGAAATTAAGTTGGATGATGAACTTAGGTTTATTACTACTACTCTCTGTAAGAATGCCTATCCACTGGGCATTGTTCAAGCAATTATTAAGAATAAAATTGCTGAATTCAACAATGTTACACCTGTTATAGTAAAAAGATGTCATGTGTACCTTTGCTAAGCAGGTTTCTGTGGCAGTTCGACATTGTTACTTTGTCGCTAACACTTGTGTTGTTTTCTCTGCCAAACCCGACCTTCCGTCTATTATAATAGTCAGTTAATTTTTTTTTTAATGTATTTGTGGTTTGTGCTACACGGGGCGAACGAAAGGTTGAATGCTAGAATAAAGCAACACGTTCAAACGAAAATCCGAAACCTTAAGTATTCTCTTTCAGATACTCTGACCAATACGTATGGGTCTTCCATCGCAGAGCACCTAATAAATAGCCATAATTGTGCTGGCAGTTTGAGTACAGACTCATTTACCATTCTTAGGTCCCATTCGAATTGCGACATCAAAGTCTTGGAGGACATATATATATTTCCATCTAAACATATTTTTTTTATTTTATTTTCCCCAATACACTTTGTCAACTTTTTTTAATGATAATTCAGTTTATAAACATCGATTGATTTCTGTTGAGCGAGGTTCAAAGCCGGTTAACTAACCCGTTTTCCAGTTTTACATTTCATGAATTGTCATCATGAGTGGCAATAATAAAAATATTTTTGTCTATTTATTGCAATTATAAACTCATGTACCCATAATATATATATATATATATATATATATATATATATATATATATATATATATATATATATATATATATATATATATATATATATATATATATATATATGTTTTTATGATCTGTGTACCTTTTGTGAGCGTGAGCGTGTCTCTGTGTTTTATATGAGAATATATATCTCACTAGCTGTCTTCATATATTTCCAAACAGAAAGAATGAACTTCATAGAAACGTTCCTACACACACACACAAATACACATATATATATATATGTGTGTGTGTGTGTGCGTGTGCGTGTGCATGTATGTGTGGATGTATGTGCGCAAAGGCGCTAGTTTCTCTATGTTTGTTCTGATTTGAAAACAGTAAATCGATGTTTGTTAATAGGATTTATTTTTAGGCTTCATAATCTTCAGCTTAGTTATCCTCTTTTCACATTGTTTTGAAAGATGCAGTGAAATATCCTCCGGTAAAAACCTGAGAAGAACAATGTCAGGAAACAAAAAATTAAAAAAAACATTCGCTAAAGTGACAGAACGGGATTGAGTAAAATGAGAAAGGGACCAAGTTGGACATAGAGAGTTATACAAGAAAAAATATAGAAAGATAGGTCTACAGAGTAAAAAAAGCAAACAGTGAGGAGGAGGAAAAATAGAAAGAAAGGGCTACAGAGTAAAAGAGACCAAACAATGAGAAAGGGGAAATGTAGAAAGATAGGTCTACAGATTAAAGAGACCAAACAGTGAGGTGGGGGAAATATAGAAAGATAGGTCTACAGAATAAAAGAGACCAAAAAGTGACGAGGGGGAAATATAGAAAGATAGGTCTAGAGAGTAAAAGAGACATAACAGTGAGGAGGAGAAAATATAGAAAGATAGGTCTACAGATTAAAAGAGACCAAACAGTGAGAAGGGGGAAATATAGAACGATGGGTCTACAGAGTAAAAGAGACCAAATTGTGAGGTGGGGGAAATATAGAAAGATAGGTCTGCAGAGTAAAAGAGACCAAACAGTGAGGAGGAGGAAATATAGAGAATAGGTCTACAGAGTAAAAGAGACCTATCAGTGAGGAGGGCAAATATAGAAAGATGGGTCTACAGAGTAAAAGAGACATAACAGTGAGGAGGGAGAAATATAGAAAGATAGGTCTAGAGAGTAAAATAGACCAAACAGTGAGGAGGGGGAAATATAGAAAGATAGGTCTACAGAGTAAAAGAGACCAAAAAGTGAGGAGGAGGAAATATAGAAAGATAGGTCTACAGAGTAAAAGAGACCAAACAGTGAGGAGAGGGAAATATAGAAAGATAGGTCTACAGAGTAAAAGAGACCAAACACTGAGGAGGGGATATATAGAAAGATAGGTCTATAGAGTAAAAGAGACCAAAGAGTGAGGAGGAGAAAATATAGAAAGATAGGTCTACAGATTAAAAGAGACCAAACAGTGAGGAGTGGGAAATATAGAACGATAGGTCTACAGGGTAAAAGAGACCAAACAGTGAGGAGGGGGAGATACAGAAAGATAGGTCTACAGAGTAAAAAAGACCTAACAGTGAGGAGGAGGAAATATAGAAAGATAGGTCTAAAGATTAAAAGAGACCAAACAGTGAGGAGGGGGAAATACAGAAAGATAGGTCTACAGAGTAAAAGAGACCAAAGAGTGAAGAGGGACAAATATAGGAAGAGAGGTCTACAGATTAAAAGAGACCAAACAGTGAGGAGGTGGAAATATAGAAAGATAGGTCTACAGATTAAAAGAGACCAAACTGTGAGGAGGGAGAAATATAGAAAGATAGATCTACAGAGTAAAAGAGACCTAACAGCGAGGAGGAGAAAATATAGAAAGATAGGTCTACAGATTAAAAGAGACCAAACAGTGAGGAGGGGGGAATATAGAACGATAGGTCTACAGAGTAAAATAGACAAAACAGTGAGGTGGGGGAAATATAGAAAGATAGGTCTGCAGAGTAAGAGAGACCAAACAGTGAGGAGGAGGAAAGATAGAAAGATAGGTCTACAGAGTAAAATAGACCAAACAGTGAGGAGGGGGAAATATAGAAAGATAGTTCTACAGACTTAAAGAGATCAAACAGTGAGGAGGGGGAAATATAGAAAGATAGGTCTAAAGAGTAAAAGAGACCAAACAGTGAGGGGGGGAAATATAGAAAGATACGTCTACAGAGTAAAAGAGACCAAACAGTGAGGAGGGGGAAATATAGAAAGATAGGTCTACAGAGTAAATGGGACAAACAGAGGAGGGGATATATAGAAAGATAAGTCTACAGAGTAAAAGAGACCAAAAAGTGAGGAGGAGAAAATATAGAAAGATAGGTCTACAGAGTTAAAGAGATCAAAGAGTGAGGAGGGGGGAATATAGAAGGATAGGTCTACAGAGTAAAAGAGACCAAACAGTGAGGAGATGGAAATATAGAAAGATAGTTCTACAGACTTAAAGAGATCAAGCAGTGAGAAGGGGGAAATATAGAAAGATAGGTCTACAGAGTAAAGGAGACCAAACTATGAGGAGGGGGAAATATAGAAAGATAGGTCTACAGAATGAAAGAGGCCAAACAGTGAGGAGGTGGAAATATAGAACGATTGGTCTAAGGAGTAAAGGAGACCCAACAGTGAGGAGGTGGAAATATAGAAAGATAGGTCTACAGATTAAAAGAGATCAAATAGTGAGAAGGTGGAAATATAGAAAGATAGGTCTACAGTGTAAAAGAGACCAAAGTGTGAGGAGGGGGAAATATAAACAGATAGCTCTACAGAATAAAAGAGACCAAACAGTGAGGAGGGAGAAATATAGAAGTTAGATCTACAGAGTAAAAGAGACCAAACAGTGAGGAGTGGGAAATATAGAACGATAGGTCTACAGAGTAAAAGAGACCAAACAGTGAGGAGGGGGAAATATAGAAAGATAGGTCTACAGATTAAAAGAGACCAAACAGTGAGGAGGGGGAAATATAGAAAGATAGGTCTACAGAGTAAAAGAGACCAAACAGTGAGAAGGGGGAAATATAGAAAGATCGGTCGACAGAGTAAAAGAGACCAAACAGTGAGGAGGGGAAATATAGAAAGATAGGTGTACACAATAAAAGAAACCAAATGTGAGGAGAGGGAAATAGAGAAAAATAGGTCTACAGAATAAAAGAGACCAAACAGTGAGGAGGGGAAAATATAGAAAGTTAGGTGTACAGAGTAAAATAGACCAAACAGTGAGGAGGGGGAAATATAGACAGATAGGTCTACAGAGTAAAAGAGACCAAACAGTGAGGAGGGGCAAATATAGAAAGATAGGTCTATAGAGTAAAAGAGATCTAACAGTGAGGAGGGGGGAAATATAGAAAGATAGATCTACAGAGTAAAGATGACAAAACTGTGAGGAGGGGGAAATCTAGAAAGATAGGTCTACAGAGTAAAAGAGACCAAACAATGAGGAGGGGGAAATATAGAACTATTGGTCTACAGAATAAATGAGACCAAACAGTGAGGAGGAGAAAATATAGTAAGATAGGTCTACAGAGTAAATGGACCAAACAGTGAGGAGGGGGAAATATAGAACGATAGGTTTACAGAGTAAAAGAGACCAAACAGTGAGGAGGGTGAAATAAAGAACGATAGGTCTACAGAGTAAAGGAGACCAAACAGTGAGAAGGAGGAAATATAGAAAGATAGGTCTACAGATTAAAAGAGATCAAATAGTGAAACGGAGGAAATATAGAAAGATAGGTCTACAGTGTAAAAGAGACCAAAGAGTGAGGAGGTGGAAATATAGAAAGATAGATCTACAGAGTAAAAGAGACCAAACAGTGAGGAGTGGGAATATAGAACGATAGGTCTACAGAGTAAAAGAGACCAAACCGTGTGGAGGGGGAAATATAGAAAGATAGGTCTACAGATTAAAAGAGACCAAACAGTGAGGAGGAGGAAATATAGAAAGATAGGTCTACAGATTAAAAGAGACCAAAAAGTGAGGAGGAGGAAATATAGAAAGATAGGTCTACAGAGTAAAAGAGACCAAACAGTGAGGAGGGGGAAATATAGAAAGATAGGTCTACAGAGTAAAGCAGACCAAACAGTGAGAAGGAGGAAATATAGAAAGATAGGTCTACAGATTAAAAGAGATCAAATAGTGAGAAGGAGGAAATATAGAAAGATAGGTCTACAGTGTAATAGAGACCAAAGTGTGAGGAGGGGGAAATATAGACAGATAGGTCTACAGAGTAAAAGAGACCAAACAGTGCGAAAGGGGAAATATAGAAAGATAGGTCTACAGAGTAAAAGAGACCAAACAGTGAGGAGGGGAAATATAGAAAGATAGGTCTACACAGTAAAAGAGACCAAACAGTGAGGAGAGGTAAATAGGGAAAGATACGTCTACAGAGTAAAAGAGACCAAACAGTGAGGAGGGGGAAATATGGAAAGATAGGTCTACAGAGTAAGAGACCAAACAGTGAGGAGGGGAAAATTTAGAAAGATATGTCTACACAGTAAAAGAGACCAAACAGTGATGAGAGGGAAATAAAGATACGTCTACAGTGTAAAAGAGACCAAACAGTGAGGAGGGGGAAATATAGAAAGTTAGGTCTACAGAGTAAAAGAGACCTAACAGTGACGATGGGGAAATATACAAAGATAGATCTACAGAGTAAAGCAGACCAAACAGTGAGAAGGAGGAAATATAGAAAGATAGGTCTACAGATTAAAAGAGATCAAATAGTGAGAAGGGGGAAATATAGAAAGATAGGTCTACAGTGTAAAAGAGGAGGTATACAGGAGTAAACTGATAAAAAAAATCACTCCAGCTCTTAGTCCAATTCTTTGACAACATAATCCATTATTTATTCAAATTTCTTTATACTTTTTTAGTCTGCGTTTCCTCAAAAATAATTTCTTATTCTACATCTACGATGGGCTTCTTTTATTTGGTTCATGTTGCACAATTTTTGTTTGCGTAATCAGCTGCCAAGTATCTTATTATGAATAGCATGGAAGTAAATACCTCTACTTTGTACAAAGAAAATAATAACTTGTTTTAAAAAATGTCAATTTTCAAGAAAATCATGCTTACCCATTCCTACATAAAATAAAAATTGACATTAAAAACATCAAAATTATAAGGAAATGTGGATTAAACCTGATAAATCTAAAAATAACACACACTTCTCTTTTATAAAGTCAATAATACTTATAAAAAATGATAAAAATATCACTGTTTCTTCAAATAATAATGATGTTGCTAAATTTGCCAATAAATTTTAAACAGACAGAATGGGAAAAAAACTCATTAAATATTCTCATTTCCTATTTAAATATCGCAAACCTAATTTCGACAATAACTTACAATCACGATTAATCAATCCTTCTAAAAATTGAATTAGTTTTCATTTAAAAAGATGAATAATACAAACTATACAAGAAACCTATTTTAGTAATCTTTCGAAATATTCCTCTGATATCATTAATATATTTCCAAAATAGTAAAAATAAAAATTAAACTACTTTCATCCAATTTGACATTATAGATTTCTACCCCTCTATTTTTCCAAATATGTATTAATTAAAAGTTTAAACTTTTTTAAAATCTATATTAACATTATTGATAATCAACTTGAGGTAAACTTAGCGTCTAGACAATATGCAGCAATTCGAATAGTGTTAATGATATCTTTGATATTTCTGTGGGAACATTTGACTCAGTAGTTTTATTTGATGATTCAGTAGTTATTTATATATTAGACACTCCGTAGAATTATTGATCCTAATCAAGTAGAGTTCTACAGAGATGATGGAGTTATCATCCCAAATAGTAATGCTTCTCTATCTTCTAGAATACAGAAAAAAAGATTATTAGAGATTTCCAATTCCTATTTTTTAAAATGGAAATATATTCTAATCTTAAAATAATTAATTGCTTAGACATAACGTTGAATCTATTTAACAACACTTTCAAACCTTTCCATTAAGAAAGCCAAAATTTTCTTTATATTAATGCTAACGCTAATCACCCTATGTCAAATCTCTAACACTGTAAATATTAAAATCAATAGATTATTATCTAACAAGAAAATCTTCTATGATAATAAATTAACTTATAATGAAGTCCTCAAAAGAAGTAACAAGCAAGAATCATGTTAACAGGAATCTTTGAAAAATAATTCAAATAATAAAACAAGAACTGTCATAACAACCATTTAATTTTTTTTTAATAGAAACGCTCTAAAAATTAGTTACTCTTGTACTATAAATACGAACAATATAATTAATGCACATAATAATATGTCATTAAAGAATTTTCATGTCGGTGAAGCACAGGAAAATAAGTCTCCTTGTAATTGTAGAGCTCAATCTAACTACCCCGTTGGAGGTGTGTCTACCTCTGAAAATGTAGTATATGAAGCTATTTTCCCGAAAGAAGATAACACCCAAAAGAAGGTATACATAAGATTATCCACTGAGAGTTGGAAGCAAAGATTTTACAACCACGGGCGCCCCTTCACCAATTCGTCTTTAAGATTCCAACGGCACTATCAAAATATTACTAGAATCTTAAACATGGGGGCCTCCACCCACAAATAAAATGGAGGATCCTCTGTCACTCACAGACTCATAACAACTACAGAAACAAATGCAATCTATGCTTTAAAGAGACAATTATAATGATTAAGTATAGAAATGCCAATGAATTACTGAACCAACGTAATGAGCTAATCTTGAATTGTAGACAGGAAAACCGGTTTAAAATTCCCTAACAACATTCATTTTGAAAATTTATACTTAAAGCGCCGGATTTTTTTGATTTTTTTTACTAACATGTAAACATCATATATTCACGGTTTTATGTATGCGTTCATTATGTTTTTTCTTGCCTACATCTATTACAAATTTAAATTATAAATTTTATTTTCTTTATCTATTAGATTATATTATTATTATTATTATTATTATTATTATTATTATTTAGACATTTATATATGTGTGTTTTGTGTATACATAAAGTAGTTATGTGTATATATGTCTATGTGTATGTACTTGTATGTTCCGTGTATATATATGTGGAGATATGTATGTATATATGTATATATGTATGTATGTTTATAATGTACGTGTGTCTATATATATATATATATATATATATATATATATATATATATATATATATATATATATATATATATTGGTATATGTATGACATATGTGTGTGTATATGTATATGTTATGTGCATTTTTATATTTTAATTACTTAAAATGTTTTTTATTACTTAAATTATTTAAATTAGTTCTTTATTTATATCTTAATTATTTTAATTAACTGATGCATATTTATATAAAATTTTAAATTATTTAATTTAATTTTTTTAATTTTAAGTTATTACATTATATTGATGTCAAATATTATTTTTATTTTATTTATATTTGCACGATTTTTATAATTACTACTATTATTATTATTATTATTATTATTATTATTATTATTATGAATTTGTAATTTTGACGATTATAATACAATGTGAAATTTTCACTGCTTGAAATGATTAGACATTTTCAATATAACTTACCCCATCCTGTTCTTTTGTCGAGTCCCAGAAATAAAAATTATTCTGAGTCAGTTTGTCTGAGATTTCACTCTCGCTAACCTCTCTATGTCCATCTCTCTTTCTCTTCCCTCAATAAACCTTATATTGAAAGCTCTGTCTTTCTCTCCTCCTTGTCTTTCTTTCTCCCTTTTAATATTAAAACTAATTCATCTCTCACTTTTTCCTTCCTCTTCTTCCCTTTTTTGTCCCTTTTTTCCATTTTTCTTTTCTTGTATCTGGATGAATTAAACTCCATTTTTCAATGTATTCTTAGTCTGAATGCTTGAGCAATAGCCCATGAAATAAATTATAACCACATGGTAGATTTTTATGAATGCCTTATTCATTATATAAAGACATTTTTTATGTTTATACATTCTTTTTATAGATACAAATGTTTAAGTAAATTATCTGTTTTATAATAAACAGTATTAATAACATTTACCGAAATTTTCATAGAACATAAATTGATGAGATCACGACGCCAGTCTAGTACTGCACTTAAATTCATAAAGTCTAAGTACCATAGCGAAGCATTCATCAGAATAATTACATATAAAAAATATTATAGAAAAAGGATGGAAAGGCAACATTATCCATTGGAAAGTGACTGAAAACGAAACGCCATTTCAGGGCTAATAATATTGCAGATTTTTCCAAGGAGCTCAAGGTACATAGCAGAAGTACCGGACCATATGTAGCAGCAATATTCTAAACATGGACGAATGGTAGACATAAATATTTGCAAGAAGGGTTGTCCTAATCACATTTTTTAAGCAATTACCCACAAGCAAGGCGGGATGCCACTAGTAAGCAAAGGGTTACACAGAGTGGGAGCGAGAATAAAGAGGCGTGATGGAGGAAAAGACGAAGAGAAGGATATTGAATAGATCGAGGCATCTGGAGATGTCTGTTGACATTACATCTGAACAGCTGGAGATTATAGCTATAAGAGAAACAAGTAATAGGAAGGGAATTCCACAGATAGTAGGTGCGAGACATGATGCTATTGGAGTAGAAGAGACGGCCACATTTAACCTATTCGACAGTGAAAGGGTGGACCGTGCTGCACGCTTGAATTCATACAGTCTGGGAACTAGTGAAAGTAGCTCGTCAGAGCAGTTAACGTGAAAGTATTTGTAGAAAAGGGAAGTGACGGCACGTCTGTGAGAGACCGACTGAAGACAAATTTCCAGATCAGGACCAACCACACTGCATATCCGTTTCTGGATCTTGTCGAGGACCTTAAGGCGAACAGCGGGGGCACCAGACCATATATAGCAGCAGTATTCCATGCAAGGGTGAATTGTTGATTTATAAATTTGAAGGATGGATTCGGGCGAGAAATATTTTTTGGCGCGACACAGGGGACCAACTTTCCTTGCAATGTATGAAGTTATTGATTCAATGTAATTGTTCCACCTCAGGTTAGCGGACAGGGAGAGACCAAGCAGTCGTAAAGAGGTGCTCTCGTGGAGTTGAGCTTTAGACATTCTAATTGATGACAGGGATAGTTTCCTGTGGTGAGTAATAGAGAGAAGTTTTGTTTTAGAGGCATCAAAGTTAACCGGCCAATTTCTGGACCTTTTCGAGACGAACACCAATTTACAGGTTAGTTTTTTGGTTTATGCCAGACTTGCTTAATTGAGGCAGGAGGAAATAGTTGTGTCGTCAGCATAGATGCCTACTTGGGAACTGATGACACCGGGGAGATCGTTAATGAAGATAAGGAACATAGTAGGGCCTTGGAGAACACCTGCGTTCGTGGGAAACAAACTGGAACAGAATCCATTAAGGACGACCTTCATTTAACCGTTTGACAGGAATGATCATATTAAGTCAAATAATCGACCGGAAATACCGTATATTTTTATTCCAATACCTTTCTTATAATTTCATTTCCACAGTTAGCAATAATCTTGAGCCATCATCAATTAAAATAATTAAACTTTTAAACAAAACTGGTCTCATTATTTACATTATTCGGATTATTGTCCTCATCTTTGTCACCATATTTTAAAAAACGTTTCGGCCGTTGTACGCCCGGGCCTTCTTCAGGTGGTTGAATGTCGAACTGAACCCTTTATTTCGCTCAGGGGTAGACTGTTCTAGTTCCAC